TATATATATATATATATATATATATATATATATATATATATATATATATATATATAAATAGTCTTAATTTAAATGTACCTCATGCAAAATTCCATTTTATGCTGATGATACTGTTTTATATTGTTCTGGTCTCTCCCCTAACCGTACCTTTAATCAATTACAGTCAGCTTTTAATGTTTTACAGACAAATCTTTATCACCTTAAGCTTGTTTTAAATGCAGATAAATCGAAGGCGATGTTGTTTTCCAATGGGAGATTTGAAAGTAAGGATCTTCCAGTCATTACTACAGCTGAAGGTCTGAAAATTGAAACAGTATCACAGTATAAATATTTAGCACTTTTAATAGATGATTATTTGTCTTTTACTTCCCACATTCAACAGCTGGTGAAGAAACTGAGATTAAAACTGGGGTTTTACTTCAGGATCAAATCCTGTCTATCATTTGAGGCTAGAAAGCGACTGGTTGATTCTACTTTTATGTCTGTACTGAACTAATGGTGACATTTTATACATGCATGCTTCTCTTAAATGTTTTTATTCACTGGATACTGTTTATCATGTAGTTTTAAGATTTATAACATGTTTAAAAGGTTTTACACATCACTGCACATTATACAACTGGGTTGGATGGACGGCATTGGCCACTCATACACACCGCCATTGACATTTTTATTTATAAGGCCATACTAGGATTTGTTCCTTTGTATTTGTTAGCCTTTATAAAGAGAAAGTCCACTGGAGGACACTCTCTCCGTCGTGAGAACTTATTTTTACTTTCGGTGCCTAAAGTATGAACGGAACGTGGAAAGAAATCTTTTCGGTTTTCTGCTCCATCTTCTTGGAACCAGTTGCAGAAATACATGAACCTAAAGGAGCTGTTGCCACTAAATGTTTTTAAGGCAGTTCTTACTGAGTTGGAGAAGAAATCATCTGTAAATGTTTAAACTGAAGAATCTTTTAATTAATTTATTTATGGCGGAGTTAACTTTTTCTGTTTTTGCTGTGAACGTTCTGTAACCTCTGTGTGCTGCTGCCAGTTTTGCCCAGGATTCTCTTGCAAAAGAGATTTTTAATTTCAATGGGATTTTCCTGGTGAAATAAAGGTTAAATAAAAAATACATAAAATATATACAACTTTTATATACAACCAGAATGTTGTGTGTAATATTATAATTATTGATCACCAAATAAATGTTTTACTTGTTTGTCAAAACAAAAAATTAAGCACCGATAAGTTGGAAATAAATACAAGCCGAAAAAAAAAAAAACGAGCCTCAGCGTCTGCAGAACTTTGGAGAACATACAGTTGAGTTCGCTCACCTCGTGCGGAGTACGATCCTGCTTTCGACTGCGAGTTGTCGGCTCTTTGTGGTCTTTGCCGATGTGCACCATTTGTCCTTTGGTGTTCTTTCTGACGAGGTGTCTGCGGACTCCGGGAACATCCTCGAAACGATGGCCTGGTAGAAAGCACAAGACAATTTAGAGTCTAAAAACCCCAAAACATCATTATTTAATTTTATAATTCTGATCAAAGTAAAACAATGCATAGGATTAAATTCAAACAAAAAACAGCAGTCACAAAGAAATGACATCTCTGCACGAGTTCTGCCTCTCAGCTTTGTGTTTTATGTTCTCTCAGCAGAGTTACTCATGAAAAGACGTAAAGACAGACGAACAACACTGAGCAGAAACTGTTCTGTCAAGATCCCAAAGATCAGTGCTGGCAAATATCTGCTGATGTATCCGACCTGTAGCAATCAATGAACGTAACTTTTTCATTCATTCAGTCAACCTTTATTTAGACAGGTAATTCCCATTGAGCCTCGAGGACTCATTTACAAGAGAGACCAGATTTCAACAAAGAATGATGACAACAATAGACAGTTATAAAAAGGAATACAATTTATTATTATTATTATTATTTTTACAAATAAGATGGCCAAAAAAAGTAACAAAAACAGCTAGATTATAAGGCGAATGTAGAAAAACTTCATCAGAATAAGTCATCAGAAGCCGAAAGCCAAGACGGCCAGTGCAAGAACAAAAAACCTTGTTGGGTCCAGGGACACACACTAACTGCAGGTTTTTATCAAGAAGACCAACCATCCAGTCATTTTACGATTTCTGCAGGTAGCGCAAAAGTTTAAAATAAAAAAGGACAGGACGTTGAAGGATGAAGGAGGGTTTGACATGGAGGTCAAGTTGGAGTCAGCCCTGCTGGCTCCTGACCAACAGCTGACCCAACATCCGACTGCATCAACGAGTAGAGGTTAACTGACTCAGGTGGAACAAAATGTGAGCCACGGTGATCAAATAATTCCTGTTGTTGAGCTTCAGCCTGAGGACTTATTTTATTGAGAAGCAGAATTATTAAAAAAGACCTGATTCTGAATGTGTTTTCAGGCTCAGTTCATCACAAAGTCTCATAATGACTCCTTTCTCATCAGTCAAAAACCGACGTCCAGGTTTCACGATTAGCCACCGTGTCCACTCGCTGACAGCAGAACGCCCGGTTTAAAAACAGAACCCAGCCTGCCACACTTTCTAATAAGCTGCTGCTCGCTGCTCTGTCGTCGAACACAGGTCCGTTCTGGGTCTGGGAGCCGGTAACATCTCATAACAGTGGTGCCCGGACTGAGGAGAAGCAGGAAGCCTCGGTGTTTATGGAGAAACCTGAGCCTCTGCAAAGCTCAGATTTCATTACAATACTGACACATTTTTAATTCACTTCAATTCAGTTTATTTTTACAGCACCAAGTCACAACAGAAGTCGTCTCAGGGCACTGAACAGAAACACTCACCTACATAAAAAACACAATTAGTAAAAGTTATCTATCTAAGGATCTTAACGTCAATACTAACTAAAGCACCAAAATACAACAAACGGTTTAGTTTGTTTCATTAGGCTCGTTTTTGAGTTTGTACTCAGCAGTAAGAGATGAAGTACCAACTTTAAAAATACTAAAGAATGGAACACAATACGTTTTTTACAGTCATGGTGGGCTGCACAACATATATTTATAATCATTTCATTATCTAGATGATGGAACAAAGAGCGGAAAAAACTGGGATTTATTGATAAATTCAACAAGATCACAACTGCTCAACTCTGGAATATCATGTAACTAATGGGCTACAAAGATATCCCAGCCAGCTACATCAAAGCTAATCATTTCAGTTGAGCTCACGTGCAAATCACTCTCCCTGAGAATTCAACAACTCGCAAATGTTTAGATGATCTGCACCTTTCAGTTTCGAAATGGAAAGATAAAAAATAAGACGTCCTATTGTCTTAAATCCAGCTTGCTTCAATGACTACACAGTCCTGGACGTTTGAAAACCTACACGTTAGCACGGTGTGATTCGAACAGAAAGGTGTTCAAATCTATTTGACTCTACTTGGAGAAAAGCTCAGCGCGTCTGACTCACGGCAACCATTATTCTGGCAACTCATTAAAACATTTAATATGAATGTCAACAGAATATGTGCAGCAAAAAAATAATACAACCGTTTTCTTATTCTTTGTACTTTTGACATAGCAGAAACAAACAAACAAAAAAAAAAAAAACATGAAGGGGCTGAATGTTCTGACAGGTGACAATAAAATCTGAGCTTTCATTAATATTTGTTACTCACTCTTGATGCCATCCAGGTCGGCAGAGACCAGCGTCAGAGCTTCGCTCTCATCCGTGGGGATGCGCTGGTACTTGGCCTGCTCAGCGCCCGTCATGTTGCCCGTGCGCCGGCGCTCCTGCAGGTCGTAGCTGCGACTGGACACCCGGGTCAGCTGTGGGTGTTCGGACGAAGGCGACAGGGAAACAGGACTGGGAGTGCACGGTGAGTCGGGTTTACTAGAGAAAACAAGTGCCAAGACAAGTTGTTTTTAGATGATTTACTCGAGTAAACACTTCTCCACAAAATGTGAATTTACTGAAAGAAAAACTCAATCTACTGCATTTCTTTCATATTTTTTTAAACACAGATTGGTCGTCTTCTGCAACAAAAATAACATTTCTGCCTTTATTCTGCAACAAAAATAACATTTCTGCCTTTATTCTGCAACAAAAATAACATTTCTGCCTTTATTCTGCATATTACAGCTGACATCAATGTGATGCATAACAAAACATCAACTTACCGCCTTATCTTTCCTTAACATAGGAGTGTTTTCTAAAAACAAATCTCCAATCATCTAAAAAGACTAAAGATGTAAACACGGCTTCATCCCAGCTCAGATTCAAGCTTCGTCAAGTGGAAAAGTCACAGTAATGAGGAGGAGTCTGGTGCGGCGTCGTCTATGGCGACAGGTGATATATGTGTCTCTGAGGACAGGATTACTGTGGACCATCAGCTCACACCCAGCAGGCCCACTGGATGCCTGAGACCTGGTAACGTACAGAGCGCCTCGCAGTCTGAACAGGCAGGAACCTGTACGGTCCTAACCCAGGGGTCTGTAACCTTTTTGATCAAAGAGTCATTTCTGCCACTTCACTCATTAAATAAAAAGGAGCCCAGAGCCATGAAACCTGCTACAACTGTGATGATCAACTGGTGGCCCATGGGCCACTTTGAGGTAGCTGGGGGGAGCTTCTCTGACCGGTGGAGGTGACATTTTAAAACCAATAATCTTTAATGAATTTCAACATTTATTGATATTTTTACATTTTGGGAAAAAAGTAACTTTATGATGTAAAGTAAAAACTTTTAGTTTCTATCTTTAGATGAAAATGAAAACACTGGACTCTGCAGGCCTATGTGGTCTTTTATGTGAGGAGAAATTAAGTGTCCCACTTTGAAGTAATAAAGCAAAAAAAAAAAAAAACGATAGTGTCGCTCAAACATTTGCAGAAAATTAATGTAAAAGAGTAAAAACTAGTCTTTTTTTGTTGTGGGCATGAAAACCAGAAGAATTAAATTTCCTGAAAGTTTTAGTCAAAGCTTCATAGAGCTGCAGATGAGGGACTAAAGGGCCGTATGTGGCCCGAGAGCCACAGGTTGCAGACCCCTGGTCTTAACCTGATTCGAACGTCTCGAAGAACATTTTGGTAAAATAATAATAAAAGCAAACTTCAGGCACTAATTACAGCAGACTAAATCACATTTTAAACCTAACTACGTCTCCTGTTTTTTATTCTTTAACCACACTTACTCAGTGGAAGATGCATCTTCAGTTTCTGCTCTCGGAGCCGAATGAGGAACGATGTCCAGCTCTCGAGTTGAGTTTGAAACATCTCTGCCGCTTCTCGTCACTCGGTCCTCCTCTGACAAGAAGAACTGAAGAGGAAAGGAGTGTTAGAGCACAGTTTACTAAAGGTTTTAAACTAAACCTGAATATCCTTGTTTACAGAAATCTGAACCATTAAGACGTCAGTACTGATCAGGTGATGGTGCTGATGATTTATGGTGGAGAACTGCAGTTACTGGTGTGAACAAAACAACATTTTAGTGTCTGCACATCAGTCAGATCAATCATACAGCTGGTGCATATTTATAAAAATCTTCCTGAATAGTGTTAAAGAGCTGTTACAGAGCTAAATGAGTACCTCCACATCTTTTTTCTCTGGCTCAGATGGAGCAGAAGCACCTTCTGTCCCTTCATCCTCCTCCTCCTCTTCATCTTCTCCCTCCTCTATAGGGCCACTGCTGGGAGAATGGCTGCTTTTATGATCTTTGTCCTTTCTCCTTTTCTTGCTGCTTTTCTTCCTGCGCCCGTCAGCGGGCAGCTTGGACAGAGGCCGGTGGATGTGGTGAGAGGAGTGACGGTGGTCTGCAGAATAAATAAATAAAAAACGGAGCACATGAACAAACAAGAACCAGAAGGTTTTTTGGGAATGTTCTCATGTCTGGGTGTCGGGCTGCAAACAAGAAGAGTCAAATATATCAGGACTTACATGTGATGTCCTCCTCATGGTAAATGTGGTGCTGGTCATCAGGCACAGAAGCAGCGGGGTGAAGGATCTGCTGGAAGCGCTGAACACCTAAAGCTTTATTCAAATCGCCATCATCTTCCTCCTCTGAGCGGGGAAGCGGTGAAGCAGGAGGAACCTCTGGCTGCAAAAAACAAAAACCACAAACTAATCAAATATGACAAATCAGTCAATATACAGGTGCTGGTCATAAAATTAGAATACCATAAAAAAGTTGATTTATTTCAGTAATTCCATTCATTACACACAGACTGATATATTTCACGTTTATTTCTTTTAATGTTGATGATTATAACTGACAACTAATGAAAACCCCAAATTCTGTATTTCAGAAAATTAGAATATTGTGAAAAGGTTCAATATTGAAGACACCTGGTGGCACACTCTAATCAGCTAATTAACTCAAAACACCTGCAAAGGCTTTTAAATGGCCTCAGTCTAGTTCTGTAGGCTACACAATCATGGGGAAGACTGCTGACTTGACATTGTCCAAAAGACGACCATTGACATCTTGCACAAGGAGGGCAAGACACAAAAGGTCATTGCTAAAGAGGCTGGTTGTTCACAGAGCTCTGTGTCCAAGCACATTAATAGAGAGGTGAGGGAAGGAAAAGATGTGGTAGACAAAAGTGCACAAGCAATAGGGATAACTGCACCCTGGGGCGGATTGTGAAACAAAACCCATTCCAAAATGTGGGGGAGGTTCACAAAGAGTGGACTGCAGCTGGAGTCGGTGCTTCAAGAACCACCACATACAGAAGTATGCAAGACGTGGGTTTCAGCTGTCACATTCCTTGTGTCAAGCCACTCTTGAACAAGAGACAGCGTCAGAAGCATCTCGGCTGGGACTGCTGCTGAGTAGTCCAAAGTTAGGTTCTCTGATGAAAGTAAATTTTGCATTTCTTTTGGAAATCAAGGTCCCAGAGTCTGGAGGAAGAGAGGAGAGGCACAGAATCCATGTTGCTTGAGGTCCAGAGTCAAGTTTCCACAGTCAGTGATGGTTTGGGGTGCCATGTCATCTGTTGGTGTTGGTCCACTGCGTTTTCTGAGGTCCAAGGTCAACACAATCATCTATCAGGAAGGTTTAGATCACTTCATACTTCCTGCTGCTGACCAACTTTATGGAGATGCAGAATTAATTTTCCAACAGGACTTGGCGCCTGCACACAGTGCCAAAGCTACCAGTACCTGGTTTAAGGACCATGGTATCCCTGTTCTTAACTGACCAGCAAACTCTGCTGACCTTGACCTCATAGAAAATATATGGGTTATTGTGAAGAGGAAGATGTGATACACCAGAACCAACAATTCAGAAGAGCTGAAGACCACTATCAGAACAACCTGGGCTCTCAGAACACCTGAGCAGTGCCACAGACTGATCGACTCCATGTCACGTTGCATTGCTGCAGTAATCCAGGCAAAAGGAGCAACAACTAAGTATTGATGCTGTACATGTTCATACTTTTCATGTTCATACTTTTCAGTTGGCCAACATTTCTAAAAATCCTTTTTTTGTTGTTGGTCTTAAGTAATATAAAAATTTTCTGAGATACTGAATTTGGGGTTTTCATTAGTTGTCAGTTATAATCATCAACATTAAAAGAAAAACATTTGAAATATATCAGTCTGTGTGTAATGAATGAATATAATATACAAGTTTCATTTTTTGAATGGAATTACTGAAATAAATCAACTTTTTCATGATAGTCTAATTTTATGACCAGCACCTGTATGTAAAAAGAAAAGCATGAGGAAGATAAAAACAAGCCTCAACTTTTGTTAATCATTAAAAATCTAATTAGGTCTGCTGCAGACAGGCATACTAACCATATACAAGCTACATTACTGGTAATTTAGCTTTAAACCATCTAAATATTAACCTTTGCTCCACATTTTCCTTCCAAAGAGTTTGAGTTTTTTCTATAATCTTTTAAAGTGGTCTTTTAAGTAGTTCTTTAGTTTTTCTTAAGGCCTTTCTTTCATTTTCAGTCCAGTTCATTGTGCAGTGTGTTTGCTCAAACACTAGAGGGAGCACTAGTGTTGTGAACACATCACAGCCCAGACATCACGTGATCAGTCCTTCTGCACTCTCAAATATGAGCTTTAAAACTGAAATTATAGCCATGTGTGTATTGATCAGTACAGTTTTTTTATGTTGAGGTGTGACCTGGATCACATGTGAAATAGTACGTCTGTCTTTGCCTTGCTCTGCTCTGTCAGTGGGATGTTGTGATGAGGATGCATCTACTCCGTCTGGAAGAGATTGCGGCGCAGACGCCTCAAGGCAGAGCAACTGTTGCCATGCTTACTGGGAGTGAACCCCTCCTACAGTACAACTCGGGGTCACAAGTCACCTCGTGCGGTGTGAAAAAGTTCACAGGACGTGTTGATACGATTTCACTCCTTTACATCAGTGTGGAAATACGTCAAAAATGTGTGGCTCTTGGTCCATTTCGAACATCTCCACTGCTCCTTTAAACTCATCAAATAAAAACGGGCATGTTAATGTGAACACAGATTCACTATTTTTCACTTAACTCACAGCACTTAAGTGCACAAACCTTCACTGATTCAGGCGTGCAAGACAGTGTGAAAAAGTGACTCTCATGATCGACACAACTAAGCATTGTTTTCACAAGACGTGTTTTTACATGTCTCACCCTGGTGACAGAAACATAAACCTGTTAGCTGAACTGCAGAAATGCATACCCTTAGAGCTAACAGGCAACATGGATTTAGTATTTCTGGATTAACTAGATTACCAGCACTAAAGGTACAGTTTATTCTGATGTTAACCAGACTCAGACCTTACTTGGAATAATATACTGGCATGTAAACACAGTTTTTCTAATACTTGAACCTGAAAAGAGTCATCATTTGAGCAAGCATAATATAAACTAAACTATGATGATGCATGCTCAGTAATCCAGGTAGAAAAATCTAACAAGGTTCGAGTCAGATCCTCTGGACGGATTCTTATTTGTTGACTTTTATTCAAAGACTTCTTCAGTCTGAAGAGCTGCAACAAACTCAGTCTTAAAAATAGCACCTTCTCATAGTGGACCAACCAGTTTGCTGGTGACATCCAGAACTAGATGTTCACATGTAAAATTAGGACCATCAGCCTAACAACTGATCGTTAGTGCCCTGATGCCCGCTTGCTATTCACAAAGGGTTGAGTGATGCAATAACAGCATTGTAAGAGGGGGACAGTTGAACATGGAGGCCTCCGGCCCTGTTTAAGGATGGGTGAGTTCTCCTTATGAAGATGGCTTCCTTTACTCCTCTCTCAAACCAAAGGATGGCCCAGCACAGAAGAGCAACATCATCAGGCCAGGACTCTGTGGTCTACACTCATGTGCAGGCCAGAGGTCACTCGTTCAGGATGAAGATGTTCACATCCTGGATAGAGAGGAACACTGGTTTGACATTTCAGCAAAGAAGAATCTGTTCAGAGGACCTGACTTAACCTTGTTGGATATGGTGAATATTTTTACTTTTGAATCTCAAAAGAAGCAAGAAATTTGATTTGGATTTTTTGTATACGTCTCCACATGGGGATAAAAACGCGGTCACCATAAAGTTTGCTTTACTCATTTTTTTAATCCTCATTAAACATTTCATTTACCGTTACCTGAAAAATAAATTAACCCATATTATGTAAGAATATTTTAATAACCAAAACCAAGAGCTTAAAGAGACAAGTGATGAGAAAATGTTCCACAGTCGATACTTCATGTAAATGCAAGCCCTTGAGGAGCAAAGCAATAACAAATCAGACCAGAATACAATAAAAAAAACATCTGCTTTAGTTATTTACTAATGGCAAGAATTATATTTTGTTGACAGGGCCTTCCACCTCACCAAGGAGCGTTAACCTTCAACACTAAAGAGAAGCACATAGGGGGTCTTGTTTTGCTCACCAAAGCCTGGTGACACAATAATCAGAGCTCCACAGGCCAACAGGACGCCATCAGTTTCTTCATTGTACCAAAATAGGATAAATGAGATTTTCATCAAGGATTTTGAGAAAAGTCATAAAAAAGAGACAAGCCATGTTTGAACAGCCACGTAAAATATTGACCTAGTGGCTTTTAGTCAATGCACCTGAAAGGAAAATGTAAATAAACAAAAACTGGACATCCTACAATTTTAAAGCCTAGCATTGACAAAAAAAAAAAAGTTTAAAAGCTGGCTGACGTGAAAAATAATGTGAGGAAAAAAAAAAGAAAAGAAAAAGAGATTCTGTGTAAACATAGCGAACAGTAACATCTTACCTGTCGCTAATACAGTAGTGCCTCGTTACTTCGCAGTTCGTTTTTCACACTCGCTCTATCGCGGTTTTTCAAAACAAGATTGGACATGACACATAATTGGCTGATTGATAGATGAGCCGCACGACTGGCAAGGAATTTTTATTTAAAATAAATTATTTTAAATGATTCAGTTATTTTATAATACTTAATACGTGCACTATTATTCCCACTTCACGGTTTTTCACTTATCGCGGGGCTTCAGGGTATGGATCCCCCGTGAAAAACGAGGGACTACTGTAGCTCATTAAACGACTCATTAAATGACTTCAGATTTATTAAAAATTTAGTAATTCAAACTAGATTGAGCCATAAACAGTTGGCTCAATCGAAGCCATCTGCAGCACTTCCGGTGCAGTCTGAAGCCCTTTCAGCAAGAATATAAAAATATTTGGCAGAATAATCGAATAATGCAGGCGACACGGTGGCTCAGTTAGTAGAGCAGTCGCCTCTTAATGAGAAAACTGCTGGATCGAATCCTGTCTGGGGACCTTTCTGGGTACAGTTTGCATGTTCTCTCCGTGCATGCATGGGTTTCCTCCCACAGACCAAAAACATGCATGTTAGGCTGATTAGTAACTCTAAATTGTCCCTAGGTGTTGGAGAGAAAGTGAACGGTTGTCTCATTTGTCTCTATGTGTCCCTGTAATGGACTGGAGACCTGTCCTGGGTGTCCCCCGCCTCTCGCACAGTGATTGCTGGATATACCCTGTGACCTGAAAAGGAAGACGCAGGTGAAGAAAATGAATGGATAATTGTATGATGCAAAACTAGCTGCAGGCTAAAGGTTTATAAAGTGTATTTTTATGAA